CACCCCCCTTGCTAGTGCCCCACTCTACTCATGATAGTGAATCAAGTGAGGTAATTTCTAATTATCTATCTGTGTCAATTTATCAGTTACCCCCACGAAACACTCGTGGGAAACCTAAAGTACAATATTCTCCTGATATACATGCCAAGTCTAAATATCCTATTAGCCATTATGTGTCAATCATCGTTTGTCTAAGTCATATGCATCATATTTGTGTCAATTATCTAGTGTATGTGTGCCAACTAAGTTGTAGGATGCTTTATCTAACCCCAAATGGATGGATGCCATGAATGTTGAAATGGATGCCTTGAACAAGAATAAAACATGGGATTTAGTTCATTTGCCACGAGGGAAGAAAGCTGTTGGATGCAGATGGGTGTTTACTTTGAAGCATAAGGCTGATGGTTTCATTGACCATTACAAGGCTAGATTGGTAGCAAAGGGTTATACTCAGACCTATGGAGTGGATTATTAGGAGACTTGTGCTCCAGTGGCAAAGCTCAATACTGTGCGTGTACTATTGTCGCTGGCTACTAATCGTGACTGGCCCTTATTGCAATTCGATGTAAAAAATGTGTTTCTACATGGTGACCTCAAGGAGGAGATTTACATGGATCTCCCTCCTGGTATTCTTGTAACCTCCAAGAAGGGTGTTGTGTGTAAGCTACGGAAGTCCTTATATGGATTGAAGCAGTCTCCAAGAGCATGGTTTGGGAGATTTGTGATAAGTTCATAATTGTATATCAGTTTGCACCCCTCTAGCTTATGATTTGGTTATGTTATTAAGTTAAACTTGTGCTTTTAATCCCTTTTCTGTTTATCATTCAGTTCATTGGGCCTTAGGTAGCAATGATGGCTTTGGATAAGAGCAGACTGAGTTAGAAATTTGTTTCGGCCTTAACTTCCTCCTCCCAACTTGTATTGGCCCAATTTATATGTGGTTGGAAAGAAGATATTCTGAACTGCAAGATGGACTGCTAAAATGTATCAATTGATGAAGTCAAGCCCAATCCGTGGGCTCATCAAAATGCACACCATACATTCCAGTTTATTTTTCGGCAGTCAACTTGCAAGGCCCAAAACGTACACTTGTGT